AGAGAGTTATTGTACTCTGTTAATGCTCTTTATTTTCATTGAGTTTGCAATACTGTTTTGTTTTAACAATAAAGAGATGTGGATCCCAGGGGGAATGGATTAATTCACGCAGTTAAAGCACAGGCAAGCACTGCTTCATGTTGATGGATCGCTCTGTTGATACTAATGTAGCCCCATCAGGCTTGCTGCTTTGTGTCCTCTTTGTAGAAGTAAATGGCAGTGAGACGACCAATAAGGAATGCGAACAGCTCTGTTTTCCATAAGATGTTAACCATAAGAATCCAGAACAAATGAAATCTTCCTCCTTGGCTTTGGTTTCTGAGCATTCTGGCTCCTGCTTCCTGCATGTCCCTCGTGCCCTCTGTTCTGTCATCGGTGGCCGTGCTTTCAGCCATTACTCCCAGAAACTCTAGAACACTCTTTCTGTATCGCTGCTTCTTTCCCCATGTTCAAAATATACTGTAAAGTGAGCTGACAGTATTTTGCGGACGAAACGTGGCTATGTGTCTCTTTACTCCTTTCAAACAAAGCCATCAAGCTAGTTAGTTGTATGGCTCAAAAGTTCCCAAGCCTTATCTGAAGCCTTGGCATAAAAAATCAATGCAGTCTTTGGAATGAGCTATTTCTGCTCTGTGCTTGTGCTGGTATGTCTTCAAAAACTAATTAATTGGCTGAAATCGATGATCCTTTGCGCTTTGTTTATCTTTCAGGTGAGACTTTAAACCAAGGGTCCATCTGCCTATTCAGGTGGATATTAACGCTCCAGTAGTACTATTTGAAAAGAGAAGGGAATTTCTCTCAGTATCCTGGCCAACAATCCCCCTGATAAAATAAAGTGCTCATTCACTTCATGGTTGTTTGTTGGGCTCGGTCTGCGCAGTTGTGTTCAAATAACTGTGTTCACATATACACTCACTGCACTTTACAGAAAAATTAAACAATGTGATAAAGGTTTTATTATTTTATTAGTTACTTTGTAGGCAAATACATTTCTGAATGTTGTTCCTGCTGCTTATTACTATCAATCTGTTTGTTCTTCTTTGGTTTCCAAGTTCAAATCTTGCCCTTAAAAGTCTTGCCAACTGATTATTATTCATTTCTTTGTTGGGCGGTAACTGAACTGGGAATAGTGCCTCACACAATGCCACATCCACACTCTGGGACTTGCTGTACCTGGAGTTACAGGACCAAGCCATATGACACTTTGTGATGCAGTGCTGTGCCAGTTCGCTCCACGCCTCGCGCTGTCAGCCTGACCCTGAGACTCACTGGTTGCGTACCTGAACTGATCATCGCATACCATTGTCACTTCAGTAAGAGTAGAAAAGCTAGATGGCAACTTGGAATAAAAGAAATAATTATCACCATAGAAACTGATGGATCTGTATTGTATCGCAAGTTGGCCTCCACGCAAGGGAATAATCTGATGACTGTAAAGCAGTGGATGATGAGCCTGAGAGGCATTGGAATTTGAATTGCTTTCTCTGATCACCAACGGAGAATAATTCAAACCACCGGGGCGTTTTGAAACAGTGACTGCCAAATAAGGATTCAGAACTGCCAGTGGACAGCAAACACCTTTAATAGACTGGGGAATTTGGAAAGCAACTCGAAAGCTGAAGCCTAATGCTCTATTCAGATTGCTATGTGAATGTTATTTTGCCAGGGTGAGCAGCGCTTGTTAAAAGTGTTAAAGGTTTATTTTTCAGAAGATCAGGCATGTCCTGCCTTGGATATAACAGTAGAACCCATGGAGCTGTCATTTCAATCTGTGCAAATTTCAGTGTTACTTTTCTAAAAAGTAAAGAACAAAATACATAAGTATTTGCTTGGTGAAAGAACACCAAGGTCCATTTAGTTTGCCTTACACCATGCTTGTAGTAGCTTGACATGTCATGTTCCAAACTATATACTGCATGATGAGATATTATTTTCTAGCAGAAATCTATCTAATTTGTTCTTGAATCAAACAATACTTTCTGCTTCTACCATCTCCTTTGGGAGCCTATTCCATAAATTTACTGCTCGCTCACTGAAATAGTGTCTCTGCAGATTTGTTATAAATTAACCCCCTTTATCACAGGTTGTGTCCTCTCGTTCTACTATATACTATAAGCAGTTAAGGTATTTCTAACTATAATTTGATTGAATGATTAGCCATTATTATCTTGACTTGGTGTGAGGAGCCTTTCTAATTTCCCAGTGCTTTAATATCCATCATACTTTATTTTACTGTTTCTGAATCAATCCCTCTTCTGAAATGCGTACTGCGGCTGTGTTTACAGAACATTTTATTCTCCTCACCCTTCGTTCATCAACTCAATTGCAAAGCTGAACACTTCAACAAAGTTTCAGCTAAGAATACCTTATTAAACTGTTGTTGCAAGAGGGTAAACATTACATTCAAATATTAGAAGAGAAAAAAATTCATTAAATATAAAATTGCACCGAGTTCCTTTGTAGCCCTTTATCAGTACTCTGAAACATTATTCTGCATGACGGGTGCTATATAAATGCAAGTTGTTGATGACATATCTCTCAATTTTTCACAAGTAATTACTGTCAAGTGTAGTAGCCTTTTTTATAGACAAACACGGCAGCTATTTTGCAAACGGCAATATCTCACAACTAGCCCAAAAATGACTGATTGCTTTATTTGCATGATTTTAGGTTAGGCAGCGGGGAGAAACTCCTTTCTCTTTTCAAGCAGTCTCATGGGATCTCTAAAACGTTCACCTGAAGAATAGACAGGCATGACCTCCGTTTCGTGTCTCACTGGAAAAGAGAGCCCAATCCGATAATGCATTGCTTACCCACCAGTCCACTTGAGTGTCAGCCTACTGTGAGCTTAAGTCCCTCTGCAGGGCTTAAACTAATAACCTTCTGACCCAAAAACGATCCTTGCCCTGCTAAATATATAGAGCTCTCTGGCGACACATGGTGAAACAACCTACCTGGTAAATAGGAGCTGAATAAGCAGCTATGGCCAGTGCTGTGCTGGTTAGCACTGAAGATTTTGAAGAGCTGGTGAATGAGCATGTTTTGTCATTTTTATTCCCGATTAGCATGCAGTTTGTTCGGAGGCACTGGTGCTGTCTATTTCCAGCCTGTAACGCCATATGTCTTGTTTTTATATCTACTTTTCATATTTCAGTTTCAGCATGACTTACCACCTCACACCCGTGCACTGCATGTACAATTCACTGCAATCTGTTTTGTGGGGGGGGGTAGGGGCGCGGGGGAGGAATTATAGATGATGGTTCAAAACTTGCTTTGANTTTTTTTCTGAACTAACCCGGTTCGTTAAGACTCGCTGCTTTTCCCAAGGCAAATAAATTGGTTTGTATTGCCAGAAAGTGGCTGCTGGCAAAATATTCTCTTCAGCCTCAAGCTGCTCACTGGGTGGGAGTTGGAGGGAAGGACTTGTATATGTACTAATTACTTCTGTTAGCACAGTCCATGCATTTTCGTTCTTGCTCCTCCTTCACATTCCTATGTCCCAAAGGACATGTGGCTGTTTTCTTCCCAGCCAACTCGTGCTTGCCCTACCACTGTCACCCATGGACTGGGCTTCAGACCAGGTCATCTTCCTGTTCGAGCCCTCAGCTGCATGCTTGATGTTTGATCCAGAAAACCAAGTGATTGGATACCTAACTCCATACTTATCAAGTGCATGTCTCGCGGCAATGCACAATATGACTTTTTTCCCTTCCAACTTGAATAAACAACAAGATGAAAGATATTCCTCCGGGTTCTTTAGGAGAGGAAGAGGCTCAATGGGATGATTAGCTTCTGCTTGTTCCTAAGGCAACTTTGGATCCATTCCGTTCCGGTCTTCAGCACTGATTAAAACTGAATTAGAACAGAACATGATGCCCTGAAGAGAGTAACAAGGGATTGGGTGTCATTTTGGCTCAGCTGTTTGCACTGTTGTCCCTGAGTCAAAGGTTGAGTTCAAGCCCTACACTGCACTTGAGTTCATTGTCTAGGTTGACGTTTTTGTATGGGGATCACTACATTATCAGAAATGCCGGACTTTGAATGAGATGAGACATTGAACTGAGGTTCTGCCTGCCTGTTCAGGTGGATGTTAACCATCCTCAGACATTATTTGACTGGTGTCCTAATCCTCCAGATAAACTGATCATTTCACGGGTGTTTGTGGGACATGGCTTGTGCGTAAATTGGTTATTGCGTTTGCCTACAAATTCGCAGTCACTTCATTTCACAGCAATTACCAGAAACGTGCTGTCTCCCACCTCACCCTCCAAACAACTTGGTTGATGGACTTGTTGTATTGCAAAGAATTTATTCAATTGGAAACAAAGATTGTAGAGCAGTTTGCAGTTCAGAGCAGCAGGGCAAAATATTGTAGAGCAGGTCTGTGGTACATGCTGCAGATACTGTGTTTCTGTATGTTAATTGTTTTGCTTTCTTAGGACCTACCTTTCTCTGGCCTCCATCTATTGCTTCCAAGATGCAGGGTAATATTTCGCCCACAAAATATACAGTCAATTCACGTTACTCTGTATATTCTGTGAAGCGCTTTGAGATGACTAGGAAGACGTGAGAAGGCACCTTTATTTTGCATCTCACTCCAGTGATGCAATCCAGATCAGTGATCTGGTATATTGTAGAGGTGACTCCAGTTCATGGTATGGTACATGAATGGGAGCCTTTGATCGACATACTGGAAAAGCAAAGCCTTTCTATTGTTCTGTTTGTTAGTGTGTTACAGAGTGGTAACTATATCCAATGAATGTGAGAAAGGTTTCTGATACTGTTCTGCTAGTGTTGATTAGTACAACTGCTGTTCATTTCTGGCTACATAACTTTTCACAGTGCAATTTGTTGCTAAGCCTCATTATTTGTGACCTATAAACGCCACTTGTGGGCTTTCTCAAGTTTTCTAGTGAATTGATTTAATCATGAGGTGTGCTGCGCCTGTGCTGATGGCTAAGCATTCAATTGAAACCCTATCTATACCTGTACCTTTCCAGGTTATCCCCTGCCTATTACGCCCATCGGATCATCCAGTACCTCTCTCGTAGGGACAGCATTCGACAGCGCTCGATGCGATATCCGACGAACCGAACGCGAGCCAGTTTGGAAAGTTCAGCGAGCAGCCAGTCTCAGCCCATTGATAGCGCTGATATGGATTTTGATGATTTTGAGTAAGTACAGTTTGCATTTTTTTCATTCAATTCATGGCAGGACGACAAGTGGTGGCCGACACTTAAACCCTCAAAGCAATAAATAACCTTCTTGTCAGGGTTCCAAATGGGGCGTTCCACGACAGTGTATAAGTAACAGAGGCTTGATCAATGTATCTGTCTCCCTCTGTCTCTTTCCTTTCCCCCAAGGAAAAGTCTGAAGTAATGAATGGCAATTAGCATCTAATTTGAGAATCCATCTGGCCTCTTCCCCACCCACCATCACATTACTACTGCTAGTAATTACAATAATAATGCTAGGTGGTGAAATTTAACTTGGCCTTTTACATCAGCCGCAGAGGTCTCCATTGTCTGTGTTATGAGGACCCTCCAGCTCCTGAACAGCATAACGGTACAACACAAGGACACGTAGATCAGAAGCTACATGTTCAAATGGCAGTCTGCCCACTCCCCCCACCCAACTAACCGATGGCTAGTCGTTGGTTTCTCTTTGGTGTTTGAAGGATAGATAGCCCCTTGTTGTAGTTGCCCGACTGTGATTCTCATGGCCAAGTACCTTGCCAATACTGTCTGATCACGCTCACGCATGAATAATCATCACTGGGTGAAATTGTGCAACTCAGCAGGAGGAGGAACGATTCTAACCCCTTTGGGAGAATCTGTGGAGATGAGCCTGTTGGTTGTCTTACCTTTATCGGAAATCTAGCTTTGGTGCTCAGTAACTCTTTTCTGCTTATGTCTCCACTCTTGTCAGGGCACTTGGCCAGGCCTGTTACTGTCCTGTGATTGCTGCCTATGGAATACAGCCAGTCAGGGTGGAATGTTAGATTGATGGATTGGACTTTCCTTGATTCCCTCGGGTTGAAGGGGTCATTTCAGAGTTTACTGACTGGAAATGTGGCTGGTTGTTCGATTTGCTCCTACAGATTTAACAAGAGTCTATTGTGCTGCAAATTCTTAAATGGTTCATAGCAAACCTAACAATTGTTTATTCTGTAGCTGATCTACAAAAGGAAACAATTTAAATGATTCACAAATAACGCCCTTTTCTCAAGTCTTCAAGTGGTTTGCAGTGCTGAACCACTGTTATCTATATATGTGCTTGGCACTGTACCAGTCCCCTGTTGACATTTTAAATGGTTCTTTATTAGATTTAGACTGGCGCCATACATGTATAGGATTCTCTGCCAGACCGTGTGTGTGTGTCTGTGTGTGTGTGTTGTGTTGCAAATGAGCATCTTGTTGAACATGTGGCGGCTTGGCTCAGTTAGCAGTGCTCATTCACCTCTGGGAGGAAAAGTTGTGAATTTGAACCCAATGTTGGGACTTTGGGCTGACTCTCTTAGTATAGTACTGCACTGTCGGAAGTGCTGTTATTTAGCTAAGACATTAGATTGATTTCCCACCTGCCTGATCTTCAAGGGAACATTTGAGAGATTACATGAGCGATCCTGTGACACTATTCACACAGAAAAAGGCATTTTTTCTTTCAGTGTCTTGTTCAACAACAACGTTACAGATATATCAGTTATTCACATCATGGCTGTAAGTGGGAGATTGTTGCTCAAAATGGCTGCCATATTTGTTGCAATTGACAGTAATTATTGTAAAGTGCTTTGTGACGTTTCCCCATGATAGGCTGTAAGAACCAACGCAAGTCCTTTTTTTGCTTTCCAGTTGTACTTCGATCAGATGTTAAGGTGATCAAGTTAGTTTTGTCCCAGACAGTGCAATTTGTAATACATTAATTGGCATAGCCCTTCCCGTATGAGTGATTTCATTGTTCCTTGATTGGAAAATTTGATTTTGAAGACAGGACTGTTTGGATGTAATTAATGGCTGGCTTCTTCTTCGGGCTGCCAGTTATCCGATGATCCTGCATTAATTCTCCCATTCATTTTGGAATAGTGTAAAACAGCTGCTGTGTAAATGCTGTCGAATATGCGCCTCTGTTTTTCGTTCCTCATCAAGTTTTAATTATTCCCAGCTGGGAGCAGTTTTCCTTGCCCTTAACGCCTCGACAAAAAAAAGCAATGGAACCAATCGATAAATAAATTCTACTATCTCTTCAAAAAAAATTAAAAGCTGTTGTACAAAACCATTAAATACAGTTGAAAAAAAAATCCTGGTCGTTGTTGGCAGTAGCGATGTTAATTGACAATAAGCACACCAGCCTCTGAGCTCCAGATATATTGTTTGTGAATCATTAAACGCTTTCATTTTTATAGACTTCTGGGAGATGAGTGAGAGATGCGTTTTGTGGGAGTAGTGCAAGATCTATTCTGTCCATTAAAAAAAATTCCAATGTTTTTACTTTAAGAGCTGGTATGATTGGGAGCCAAAGTTTTCTTAAAGTTTCACTTGAGTTGTTTGTTGCTGAGCTGTGATCAATCACGTCTCTGGTTCCCTGTATCCCTGTGCCCAGTGGAGCCCTGCACCACATGCTACTGACAGGTGATTTTTTTGTGCTTGGATAAGTGAAGGCTTGAGAAGTGGCTCGCTTGCTCAAATTCAGTTCCTACAGCGTTGATCTGAACGGAAGGCTGTCTGGCCTAATCTGTACCCAGTACTTTAGCCCTGAACTAGGCGGTGCACCAAATGATGTGGAGTTAGTTCTGTTCGGTTGAGCTGCTCAGCGGTCACTAGTTGTGCAGGGTTCCTGTAACAATGGTTAGAAATGAGACAACCGGAAGGTATAGGCAGCTCCTGTCTGATGTTTGTTTTCCGAATAGTCAGGGCATTCGATTGAAGGATCAATGTTAACAGGAATAACACTAAGATGGGCTTTTTTCCCTACAAATTCTGCCATCATTCCCGAGGTCTTTAACAAGGATGTTACAACCTTATCTGTTCTGATTATCCATCATTATTTTAAGAATATCTATATGTCCGGTTTCACTTTTTGTTAAACACAGTAACAAACATACGTGCGCGTGAGAGCAAACGCGCACACACACGCGCGCGTGAGAGCAAACGCACACACACACACACACGCGCTTCAGAAGATGCGTTTCACTGGCTGTGAGCAGTCATTGATTGGCACACGGCTCACTCTGCTACACTGCTTGCCGACCTGTGAAATTGCATGGAAATGGAGGGACTCTGGGTTCTATATGTCTCTATTCTGTTTTTAACAGTGCAGGTGACTTATTAGTTACTGCATGTAAAATGTTTAAACTCCTGCATTTATGAAATGAGCCGAGGAGGGTGGAGGGGGAGAATCGACATTATTGATCTCATCGGGTTAATGAAGGCTTTTTTTTAATCATTGTAAAACTTTGCCCAGTGTATAAAGAGACACTGATTCCACACAAAGCTGCCTGATAAATCCTCGCATGGGGAGATGTGAAAAACCCTGCAACAAAGCCACCTAACCCACAAGCAACATTGCCCTTTTTGAAGGGATTCTATTAATTGTTTTGCGGGTTTCGAAGCAAATGAGGAGGAGGTTTGCCAATGTTTTCTTCCCCTGAAGGCAGAGTCCCTTTAATGTCAGAACTGTGGTATGGAGGAGCATTTTGATCATTCTAGGATCCCAATAGGAGAAATACCTTATTCTTGGCACTTGGAAGAAGGAGGTTAAGCGAATGTTTAGATCAGTGGTGGGCAACCTTTTTGGTCGGCCAAGAAAATAAATATTCTTGATTGAATATTTTTTGATTTATGCCATAAATCAAGGAATATTCAATCACGAAACAAATGCACATTGATTTGAAATGGACTCTCCGTGACTAGGGCGAGTGTTTGACTGGCCACTTCTTGTCAGCCCCGTGGGTCATGGTCACCACCACTTTAGATGTAATTACTTAACACGGAAGGTAGTTAATGTTTTGAATCCAGTGGAGGATAAAAGTGGGCCTGGAGAGGTCAGTTCATGGGAGGATTGACCAGTGTCATCTGCATTTTCAGGTCACTGCTGAAGACCTTTCTTTTTGACCGCGCCTTTGGTCACCTTCCTCCCCGGGATCCGTCACTGTGAAGCGCGCTGAGACGCCATCCGGCGTGGAGGGCGCTATATAAATCAAAGTTGTTGTTGTTGCATGTCTGTGCCTGAGGGGTGAAGTTTTGTAAGGTCAACGAGCAGAGATCAGAGAGCTTAAAAAGAAGAGTACAGGGAATGCCTGATAATATGGAATAGTTGGGACCTTTAATCCTTTGTGTGCGTGCGCGTGCGTCTGTGTGTCTGCTCTGTGTGTGTCTGCTCTGTGTGTGTGTGTCTGATCTGCGCGCATGTGTGCCTGATCTGGGTGTTTGCATGTGTGTGTCTGGTCAGGGTGTGTGTGTCTGGTCAGGGTGCGTGTGTGTGCGTCTGGTCAGGGTGTTTGTGTATGTCTGGTCAGGGTGTGTGTGTGTGTCTGGTCGGGGGTGTGTGTGTCTGGTCGGGGGTGTGTGTGTCTGGTGGGGTGTGTGTGTGTCTGGTGGGGTGTGTGTGTGTCTGGTCGGGTGTGTGTGTGTCTGGTCGGGTGTGTGTGTGTCTGGTCAGGGTGTGTGTAGTCAGGGTGTGTATGTCTGGTCAGGGTGCGTGCGTGTGTGGTCAGGGTGCGTGCGTGTGTCTGGTCAGGGTGCGTGTGTCTGGTCAGGGTGCGTGCGTGTGTCTGGTCAGGGTGCGTGCGTGTGTCTGGTCAGGGTGCGTGCGTGTGTCTGGTCAGGGTGCGTGCGTGTGTCTGGTCAGGGTGCGTGCGTGTGTCTGGTCAGGGTGCGTGCGTGTGTCTGGTCAGGGGGTGTGTGTAGTCAGGGTATGTGTGTAGTCAGGGTGTGTGTGTCTGGTAAGGGTGTGTGTGTCTGGTCAGGGTGTGTGCGTGTGTCTGGTCAGGGTGCGTGCGTGTATGTGTCTGGTCAGGGTGCGTGCGTGTCTGGTCAGGGTGCGTGTGTGGTCAGGGTGAGTGCGTGTGTGGTCAGGGTGCGTGCGTGTGTGGTCAGGGTGCGTGCGTGTGTGGTCAGGGTGCGTGCGTGTCTGGTCAGGGTGCGTGTGTGTGTGTCTGGTCAGGGTGCGTGTGTGT